ATATAATAGAACCATTTACTTTTAATACAAGGAGGTCACAAATCTTGTTGGCCGTTAGATGTGAAATCAGGTAGTTGAAGGTATGCCACAGAATAGGCTCAAAATCCAAAATAAAATTTCTTAAACTTTGTGGCACACTCCAAGCTGTCAAGTTTCACACCCAATGGCTAGGATTGATTATGACCTCCGTGTATTAAAGTAAATGGTCCTATAGTACGCAGTTCCATCTATTATAAGTATCAGATTTGAGGAAAAAAACACACCAAATCTGACAATTTTTTAGATTGAAAATTTTGATAGGGAGTTTGCCCATTCTGAAAAATTGTGATTTCTTTGCAATTTTTTGTCGATCTTTTGATGAAATTTGACCCAAAACCCATTTTGAGGTTATTCATTCAACCATTACTCTGGTTTTTCACATTGAAACACAAAAGAATTGTATTTGAGAGATTTCAAATTCATAACCACTATTCATGCAAATTTTTCAAGAGCTCAGATCTCCTAGATCCAAACTCGAGACCCAATTCTAGATTGGGAGTTTCGATTGGGGAAGTGTGAGGGAGTTTTGACAAGGATTTGAGGCATGCATTCACACCGAACACAAAGATCGGGGACCGGCCTCAAGTTTTTGGGTAGGTTTCATTTTTTCCACATTAAATTCATAAATTGGCTGATTTAAATGATTAAAACTGATTTTTCCTGCTCCATGTTTTCCATTTTGTATTTTTTTTGGATTTTATTTTTTCCACAGTTTTAATAATGTTTTTCATTTTTTTGCCCCTTTGTATGGCTCAGGCAAGACTCGGGTGAGTCTGAGCCAAGCCATGTTTGAGAACACTCTTTGGTATTTAAATCCTCGAATCCTAAGAACAATAATCCTACGTGAAATTAAGTGATGAAATAAGTTTTGTAGATGCAACTCCAATCATGAATGTTAGGATGCGCTGGGCTAGGTTGGACACCCAATTTGTTGATCCAAAACGCGAAAATTTATTTCTATACTGACAAGATGTGCAGACAAAAGTGTCCCTGATATGAGCAATCATTCAATTGCTTAGATTAGGTTCTTACTGGTCAAAAGGCTGTCACATATTATGTGGATGCCACATGATGCAGTCCAGAATGCTGCTCTCTAGTATCTAGACGAGAGAGAGAAGCTTAAAAATTATAGGAGGAACCACAAAAGGGCAAATTAATCATGGAGTCTACCCTTTTATGTCTTCTATTTATTTCTTGAGTCTTTGTATTCACTTCGGGTCATAAATAGTAATTTTAGAGTCTTTTATGTTTTTTTATTCATTTAAAATCTTTTATGATAAATGGTCATGATTAGATTAGATGGATGGCCATGATTAAGTCTTGTTTAGGGTTTTCTTATGCAAGAGATGTACTCAAGCATAATGAATGATTATGTTATGGAATTTTATTCAAAAACCTAGAGCAACAAATGCTCCTTTTACCACCTGTTTTTTTAATCTCTCTATTTCCGGATCTTCTCTATCTCCTGCTTTGCTAAAACAGTAGCTCAAGCTACTAGGTCTACACCACAACACTAAAGTATCAAATTTGTTTAGGGGAGAGCCTTGGACATCTATGTAGAATAGTAGTGCAGAATACATTAAACACACTTTACTATACCACAAATTATTATTGCTAAATTTGGGTTTTGACTTTTTCTCTTTACTGTTTTCATGCTCTTTCTTTATACATTAGTTCTAGGACGCAATGATATTTGTATATGCTTAACATATTGGCATCGTTGACACTGATATGTACACCGGACACTCCTAGTGTACTTGTAATATGAAATGACGCAAGTATAAAAAGTAACATCACTATCATCATCATCAAAGTCTTTTTCGAACTAATTGGGGTCCGCTACATGAATCCTAGTTTGTCATTCTACTCTATTAAAGGTCATATCTTCAGTGAGGCCATAAGTTCTAATATCTTTTCTCACTACATTCAATCATGTCCTTTTGGGCCTACTCCTTGCCCTTTCTAAGCCTACCACTTGAACTAACTCGCACCTCCTATCAGGTGTTGTACTGGTATGCGTAGCACATGGCCAATCCACCTAAGTCTACTTTCTCTCATCTTATCGTCTATGGGTGCTACATCTAAATTCTCCCAAATATATTCATTTCGAATTTTACCCCATAAGTATGAAAAGTAACATGAACAAAATATATTATTATATAATCTGGTTTGGTGCATAAATATGCATGATTGTTGCAGATGCATGTATTTTATGTATTGTTTAAGTTGTTTTATGTTGGTTAATGTTATAGGATTTTCATACATGTCCCTATGTGTTGGACTTTCAGAAATGCTGAATTGTTTCCGCTGAACTTGTCCTTGTCTATCTTCATATCTGTATCTGGCATCTTGTTATTAGATAGCACATGAATGGTCTGAGTTCTGAAAACCGATCTTTCAAAATAAAGTCTGCAAAGAATGAGAACATGACCGGCCAACTCTTTACTTTTGAGACGATTTTTTGGTATTATTGCTATCAATTTTAAAAGAATTTTGAATTTGTATGACTTGTTTCACAAAACATCATGTCTTAAGCTTTGTTTCTTGACAGGCTTGTGGTTTGCATTTAGGTTATGACCAACATTTGATGTTTGTTAGTTGCAGTATTCTCCTTTTTTTTTGCCCTTTCTTTTGCTAGTGTTCATTCTTCAAAGTTTGATGATTGTTGACTCTGTAGTATATGGTATGTAGAGTGTTTTCCATGTAAATGTGTAGAGTTTGTTTCTTCATAACAGGTCGCAGAGAGACAAGGGAAATATTTAGCCAGTCTTCTAAATCAAATTGGTAAAGCTGGTGGGAGCCATGCTAACTGTGCACAAGAGATAGAATTGGGGAGTCCTTTTGTTTATAAGCACTTGGGGAGTATGGCAACTGTTGGCCGTTACAAGGCCCTTGTGGACCTTAGGCAGAGCAAGGTGGATTTTACCTGAAAGTTCTAATGAAATATTATTTTATCAAACTTTAAAACAATAGTGAAATTTACCTCAAAACCTCAGAAGATGATGGTCTTGACGCCTTTTAACTTGTAAACTGTCTTACAGGAAGGGAAAGGCCTGTCTCTTGCTGGATTCTTGAGTTGGTTCATTTGGAGGTCGGCTTATCTGACACGCGTAATTAGCTGGAGGAATAGATTCTATGTGGCAATCAATTGGGCCACCACCTTTGTTTTTGGCCGTGATATAAGTCGCATTTAAAATGGAGCTGAATTCAAATCTTAGGTTGGCAAGAAAGTAGGGGCTATTCAACTTCCAAAATCTTGAATGATGTCAATATTTTGTTTATTCTTTGCTTAAGCATGATTTTGTTTATGTGCATGCATGCGCATGCACTGATTTCATTGATCTAATTTTTATGAGTTCCCTTATAGTAGAGAACTACACCAAGAGAATATAACAAGTGACATTTTAATACAATTCTTGTAATAAATGTCTGATATTATAATTTATATTAAGGGGGTCCTGAAAGTTCCATGTGAGAAAGAAAATTTATGCATTTTTTGAATTGGTTCTGATTCTCATTATATGTGATGAAGAGGGTGAAGCATGGATAAAACATATTTATGGTACTACGTAGTTGCACGTCTTCACTCCCAAAAGCTTGAGTATTTGTCTATAGAGAAGCAAGGACGCCTGTTTTTGCTTCTTGTGTTGTTCGTCTTTTCCTCATAAATGTGACCATCTATTTATTGATGACTACTTTCCTGTAATGAGAGGTAATTAGTTTGTATGTGATTTTAAATATTGTTCGACTAAGGATACGGCTCTTGATAGAGCTAAATGGCAGAACAGGAGCTGAACCCAAATAATTGGGATAAGGCTTGATGATGATGATGATTTGAGGTTTTCTTTGTACATATTTTACTTCTCTTCCTGCATAAAACTATTCGGATTTTGGATTCTATTCCTTGTGGCCTTCAGAATATGCAATATTCATTTTAATGCTGCTGTTAACTTCCTTTGATCACCAGTGCATTGTGGTGTTTGTGGTGTTCCTCTGAGACAACTTTAATAATGTGTGGTGTTTCACTTTTTGTTTCTTTAGGTCAGATTTGTGGCAATCAATGTTCGAGCGGCTCGGAACCCCCCGAGCTGCCTCGGAACTGGTGGTGGGTGGTTTGGGTCTAAGGCCCCAAAGACTCCCCTTGTTCCCAATGGTTTTTCAGTTTCTGTTCTTACTTTTCTTGTTTTAAAATAAAAAGGCCTGGAGAACCATAAGCCGGACTGGAATCGGCTGAGCTAGCTTGGTTCAGCGGGTGACCGGTTCTGTGTTTAAGCAGTGATGGCAACAGTTGCAGTGGCTTTTCTTTTTCTGTTCTTGTTTGGTATCTTAGTTTGCTTATTCGAGGAACCATTTCCTTTTCCTCTGAATTGGTAGATCTATTTATGGCCACCGGGTTCACGACTTCGAGACACCAAGGAAAATCCAAAGTTTGTCATTGATTTCAATTATGCATCGATTTCAATTATGCTTTGTTCTCAGTAACGTTTTTTACCTATTTCCTATTTGAATTCGATGATGTTGTAATGTGCCAGAGTCAGAAGAACTACCAATCTAAAGTTGTAAGAAGATTCAGAGCAACGCTCATTTTTTTTTGGGTGACTCTGATGACTGCTGATTCCTTATTTCAGCATACCATCTTAAGGAATCCGAAATTTACTGAAATGCGCTCTAGGGAAACAAAAATATCCCGAGAAGAGAGAGAGAAACTAGGGTAATTTGGGCCTTTGTTAAGATATATTTTTGTGGAGGTATGGTATATTTTGAGGAGGTACGCAGGATGAAATGAAACTTAATATAAGGTAGAACTTTAACTTTGCACCACTTACATAGAATACAAATGTGGATTTTGTTTTTAGCTGTCTAATTTTTGAATGGATAATTGGGTTAGTCTTAAGCAAAATGTCATAAATAAACACTCTTTTATGTTTAAATTTTTCTACAGAATCAGATTTGTATAAATTTGTTGTAACATTCAAATTAGATGGCTAGGAAAAGGGTTCACATATGATCTATATGTGGATAGTACCATATGTAAAGTTTTCTCAATGAATATTCTAATGTTAATTGGGATGGAATAAGGGGTCAAGACCCATTACGCCATATTTTCGCACTCGGGACGAGTTTATGAGGGGTGTTGCCTTTGGATGAGAACAAATTCCTCTTATTTTTCTTGCCTCTATGATGTATGGTCCTTGACCTTCCGGAGCACACCATGGGCCCATATAATCTTTCTGGGGCCCCTAATATTATGGCTACCCCTGGTATTTCATATGGGCACCGCGGCCTTAAGGACCATGATATTTGGTATGGAGGAAATATGGTATTTACTAAAACAAAAGAAATGGCCGAAATAAAAAGGAGCCCTTAATTTTGGAGGGTGAGAAGTGTCAAGAACTCAAAAATCTAATTTTAGTTTAAAAATAACATTATTTTCTTAAAAGAAAAATGTTATAAACCCACCTCAAAAATTTCACTAGAAGAGGTTGTTTTGATGTCCAAATATCTTCGAATTGATCATCTCGACATCAAGATGCATGGACGTGAGAAAAAAAAAAGGATATCAATTTTTTGAAATAGTGCATCTCACGATGCATTTTTTGACCGTCAATTTTCAAGATTTTCAAAGATTTGCTTGATCTAACTATTTTTGAAGCTTTAAATTTTATAATTAAATATGAAAATTTTTAAGGCTCTCACAAAGATTTCCAATATTAAAACTACATTTTTCGATACTATTTGAAGGTGAATTTTACTTTGATTGTTTAGATCGTCAGTTCTATACGAACCGTACCCTTTTTTAAATGGACCACCCAACCCAAATAGTTGGAAACTAACTTTGATAGTGGTGGTGATGATTTTCTTAAAGGGTGAGGTTTGTGTAAGGTGTTAACTTTATACTATTTAAATAAGGTGTACCTCAAAACTAAAGCCTTATGATGATATAAAAATCTATTGTTGCACCCAATTATGAAATCTAAAGTTCTAGAAATGGTGACGGTCAAGCTGATTTATAAACAAATAAAAATATTGAAAATGAACGGTCCATATAATGTGTCAGAAGATGAACTATTTTGAGAACTAGAAATCTCCTTGGTTTTTCATATCTACGAATTTTAAGGTTGAAATGATTGATTTGAGGGTTTTTCAGAATAAGAAACAATATTTTATAGTGGGGTTTTTTAGGTTTACCATACTCGTACAGTATAAGGTTGACAGTTATATAAACTTTTTCCTTTTTGAAATGGACTCAAAAGATCCTCCTAGGTGGCCTGAGGGAGTAAGTGTACAAAATTTTCTCCCATGAGCATGTTATTCAAAATAGAGGTGTAAAGGTCATACCAAAATTTACCGATAATATGCATCAGTATGCATCCCTCAAAATTTACCAATAATATGCATCATTCCTCAAAATTTACCAATAGTATGCATCAGTATACATTCCTCATTTATATAAGGGTGCTGTTTGTATAGAGCCTAGGCTCTAAACAATTAAATTAGAGTCTACCTTCAAATAGTGTCGACAAATGCGGTTTTAATATCGGAAATCTTTGTGCTAGCCTTAAAAATTTATTTTTATCTTTATTTATAAAGTTTAAAGCTTCAAAAATAGTGTAGATCAACAACTTTATGGAAACTTGAAAATCTTAAAAATTGACGGTCCGAAAAAAACGTTACAAAATACACTATTTTAAAAATTTGAAATCCAGTTTTTTCTCATGTCCATGCATCTTGATATCGAGATGATCATTTTGAGGATATTTGGGCATCAAAACAACCTTGTCTAGTAAAATTTTTGAGGTAGGCTCTAAGTTTATTGTTTAGAGCCTCGGCCCTATATAAACTTTTCCTTTTATATAAATCTGAGCATACTACTAATAAAGCCAAAAGATTTCATGCTTGTATAGGGGTACTGTTTATTTACACCCTCAGGTAAAACCCAATCTAAGAGTAATTGAACCTAAATGTTGGGGATATGACTTCTTGATCCAATGGGCTAATCTCAACAAAATTAATTTTCAAATTGCACTCTTTATGCAGTTGAAAAAAGTAATGTGAACAAAGACCCCCCAATTTTTTGAGGGCTAGATCTTTGTGTTAGAAAACTTAAAATTCAGACTTTCTCTTTAAAAAAATTAAATAACTTAGGTGTCTCCTAAAATTTCATATTAAAAAAAATATTCCTCTCAAACATGTCATCTGTCCAATGGAGTAGGTGTATAGCATGGCTCAAGTAGAAAAAGAGTATGGGTCCTCAATAATAAATAACAATAGACAAGAATCACTAAGGTTTCACTGTTTATGCACTGGTGTTGTCCCTTACCTGCAATATTTGTGCAGCTTTCCGGAACCTTGCCACCCCAACTTCAAGGAGCAATTCCCTTACTTTTCAGTTTTAATAAAATTTAAAGGGTGTGGTCTATATAAGGCTGAGACCCTAAACAATCAAAGTAAAACATAATCTTGAATAAGATTAAAATATATTATTTCAATATCAAAAATCTTTTTGACGTCCTGAAAATTTATTCTTATCTCTAATTGTAAATTTAAAGATTAAAAAATAATGTAAATCAAGCGAATCTATGAACACTTAAAAAATTGACTGTATGTATAATGCATTACAAGATGCACTGTTTCCAAGACTTGAAATCTAGTTTTTATCATGTTCATACATCTTGAGGTCGAGATGATGAAATTTAGAATTTTTCAACATCAAAACAATATCTTCCACTGAAATTTTGAGGTGCACCTTTTGATAGTTTAGGGCCTCACCCTTATATAAACTTTTTCCTTTAAATTCTATGGCATATTCCTTCAAAACCAATAGAAAGCGTTTTACACCTACTTCACTACTTCCGGTGCGAGACCAAACCCCGAATCCCGGGTACCCGTGCATGCCACTCAGGATCACCGTGGAGCCCAAATCCATAAATAAATGGGGACTTATGCTCTACTGCTTCATGACCAGATTGCATGTTTGGTCCCACAGTCAAATCAAGTTACCAGGGGATTCTCTGTGACCTGAGATTTTCCAAATCGCTCTCTATCCACCCTGTGATCAATTTGGAAAGAAAAAATAATAAAAAAAAAATAAAAATAAAAAAGGAGGAGGTGGAGGAGAAAAAGATTTTGTGCTCTTGAATCCTGTAGAAAATTAATTCATTTTAAACATTTTGTTTGCGCTACAAATCAGTTTTTTATTGTAGAAGAATTATTTTATAGATGAATACAGATGATGGGAGAGCTTTGAGGTCAAGAAAATCCTCCTCCTGACATTGTTTGGTAACTGGGAAAATCCATTTCTGAAAAGCCTTTATATGGTAATCATGTTTTCTTTGTTTGATGCTAAGGAAGATAAGTGGAATCCCCTTTCCAAGACCGCGTTTCCTTGGTTTACTAAAAACAATAAAATGCGCTCTCTAGGTAGGGTGGCAATGGGACCTGACTAAATCTCAGACCCAATCAATAGACCTGACCTCAGGTCCGGGCGTAGATCCAAATTGGACTCAAAAGGTTGAGTCCAGGTCCAAAACATGGACCCAAATACTATTCTGGTCCATATCCAACCGGACCTGGAACCGACCCGAAAATATGAGTATATATGGGTATTCATAAATGTTGCCAATACATTTGTTTCTTAAGGAATTTCCAGTTATTACGTAAAACAATAAGGAATGTGGGTATTCATAAATGTTGTGCAATATTGTAAACGTTGCCAACAATATGGGTATATGATGGTAAAAAGAAAAGGCAAAAAAAAGAAAAGAAAAGAAACTCATAGGCATGGGGACTCGAGCAGATTCAGAAGCCGATGGGGTAAACCTGACCTCAAGTTTGGGTATAGGTCCAAATTTAAAACCTGAAAGGTCGGGTCTTGGTCCAACTGGACCTGACTCGGACCCGAACCGTTGCCACCCCTATCCCTAGGGGACCCTAGATGACCGGCTTCCGTTGAAATGGTATTCCATTGTCAATGTCCAATTTTGTTTGTTTTGGTTGCAGATTTCAAGGAATTCAAACACCTGTATAAAGATATTATGAATCAATTTTAATGAGACATCCCATCCATTTGGCCCTTGGTATCATTTATTAATGGTTAATTGGTCACCAAATTTGTTTGTTTTTTTGGAAGTGTTACACCATATTTGTTTGGTTATTTGATCAATTATTTATCCATTTTTTATGCTTCCGGATTATCAGTTTGGTTCAGCATGGGTGATCATTTTGGTTTACTATGAAATTTTGTCAATCCTTTTGTTTGTTTCGTTGCCTATATTGGTTGATTCATGAATCAGCTAAATAGCAAGGGTTCTAAGATCTAATTGAGGTAATTATCCATCTTTTTATGCCCATTTATTTGTCAAAGAATTGGGCTAATGAACATCATGTTAATTATCAAATTCTCAAGTTTAAACTTTAATAACTTGAATCAGAGCTCAATCACAACTATTTGAGGTCCACCAGAACCAATATCACATGTGTTACCAATAAAGATTTCAAAATCCAGACTCCCAGATTCTTAGGTTCCTATATTTCTAGTTTGATTTTGTCATGGAATTTCCCATTTCCCAATCAACAAACTTCCGCACAAATTGTTTTGGACGCGGGACGAAACTGTACCATTTGGTCCGTAGAGAAAACCACATCAATTGTCCTGAATTTAAAACCATAAGCACACTACCCTATAGTTTATTACACCCCTCCTCTCTCTCTCTCTCTCTCTCTCTCTCTCTAACATCTTCGCCCATGGCTTCCACTAAGCCTCAACTGCTTCTCCCCAGCCAGTACGGCGCCACCCAAGCTCCACCACCCACCCCATCAAACCACCACTTGGCCTCCTCCTCCTCCTCTTCTGATCCTCTCTCCGAGTTTCTCAATCGATCTCTCCCCCTCTTTTCCCTCTCTCTTTCTAAACCACCACCTCTTCCCATTTCTCACCCCCAACTTCTATCCATTCCCCTCCACCAAGTGGCTGAGCTCTTGGACCCCAGCACCACTCCCTTCTTCCAGCTAACCCACCACAACATCGACATCACTCTCGCCCAACAAGCTGAGATCGAAGGTAAAGCTCTCTTTCACAGCAAGGAAGTAGCACCAAAAGGTGAAGATGAATATGAAGAAGAAGAAGGAGGATTCTGTTGGCCTCTTGGATTCGATGACCATGACCACAGGTCCTTCTGTTTTGATTCTTCGATCGCTTGTAGGATGGAGGTGCATGAGTATTTTCAGGCAATGGAATCAGTGGGTCTGCAAATCGCCGCCTCGCTTGCGAAGGCTCTCGGATCTGAATGTTCTTCTCGTTCTCTCTCTTCTTCATCATCAACGCCAGGTCCTTGTTGTGGATTGATGTGGGTTTCAGAGCAAAAGGGGGTTGAGAGGCCTGTTTCTGTGGGGAGGGTGTACCCTTATGTGGTGGGGTTGCAGCACCAGTTGCATCCCCAACCCTATTTCCTGGACCTGGGTTCCAAAGGTTGGGTGAAAGTCCAGCAGGAAGTGGGTTCGATTCTGGTTACAATCGGAGACATCGCAAAGGCAACTCACTCTCGTTCTCTCTCTCTCTCCCACACTAATATTCAAATATCAGACACATTTGGTTGGTATGAAATTGTTTTTCAGAAAATATTTTCATATGAAAAAATTTCTGTGATCAAGGAAGAGAATATTTTTATAAAACTTATGTGAAAAGATACAATAACTTAACCACACTAGAGAATTTAGAATTTATTCATGTGAAAATATTTTTTCACAAACAATATCAGGCGAGCTAAACGTGCCATTATTCTGAATGCTTCTCACTCCATCTCTAACACACCATATTCAAATATCATTAGTTCTCTCTCTAATTGAGGAATAATAGGTTTGGAGCGACGGGAGGTGGGAAAACGTGGTGAGGGGCAGAGCTGTAGTGGCAAAAGCCGCGGCGGAGGCGGAGGAAGAGATAGCGAATGTGACGACGATGTTGGTTTCTCCCTCTTTGGAGAGCACAGTGCAGCCGCTCTTTAAAAAGGAAAAGGAGGAAACAGAGGGGAGGAGCTTCTCTGATTTTCTGATGAGGGACTACGCTTGGAGGGTTTATCACCAAAGGTTTCCGGCCAAAGACCCGCTCCAAAGATATCGACTTTCTCTCTCTTGATCTTTGCTTTTCCTTCGTTCATAAAACACGATTTTCTCTCTCTAAAAAGTCCGAATGTCGGGAAGTGTTATTGCGTGCGCACGTGTTTGGTGCCAAAAATCTCTTCGTTTTGGTGTTGTCGTTATCGACGATGATTGCGCGTGGTGTAGGGACTTGGAATTCATTCATTTCAACTTCCCAAGCATTTTACCTTCCGTACTCCATTCTTTTTCACTCTCAACTTCTCTGTCACTCTTGCTTAAGGTGTCCAGGTAAAGGCGTGACAATTGATTTGATCCGGATTTGAAACTGATTTCAGATCCTATTTGGATTCCGATATGAATTCAAAATTTGGATCGGAAAATCAGATTGGGACCAAAAAATCGGGTCTGAATTAAAGTTCAAATCGGATTTAGGTGTGGATTCGATCTGGATTCGCGGATCCAGATCCAGATACAACTCAATTTTTTTTAAATAGTAAAGTTTTATTTTATATATATCATTTTTTAAATAGTATATATATAGAGTAATCTGGAACTGATCAATACTATTCAGATTTGGATCAAGATCCAATTTGAAGCCAGATCCAACCCAAATCTCATATCTGTATTCAGATCCAGATCCGGATCTAGTCGGATCGTTGTCATTTTTCAATTTTGTCTTGGACACTCTCTCTTCAGTTAGGGGTGGCAACGGGCCGGGCCTCGGTCAGGCCCATATTATGGCCCTAGTTCCGATAGGGCCAACCCAAGCTTGACCTAGCTCTGGTCTAGCCAGCCCTAGCCTTATCAAGGCCGGGCTGGGCGAAACAAAATTTAAAATAAAAGAAGAATAAGAAAATAAAAAAGATGGCTGGGTGGAGCAAGACTTGGTCTAATCCTGGCCTTGTCCTACCCTCGGCCCATTGTGGCCTAGCCTTGGCCTGTCCCTTGAGTCACATTTGGTGGCCTAGGCCCCAATTTTTTTGGCCAAACTGCGTGGGTTGGGCTGGGTCACCCGACCTATTGCCACCCTTGTCTCAATCTTCCCCAGTCTTAGATTCCCTCGCTCATGGTTAGCAGCTTGCTTTCACCTTGTGTGTATGGCTCACTCTCGCTCTCTTTTAATGCAGAGAGCGAGAGTGGCCTTTCCCTTTCCGGCACTTTTAAGGGTATTGAGAAAAGTAATCTCATAGGTTTTTAGTGTTTATGCGGAATTGAGAATCCTAGGTACGATACTTGGTTCTCACTGAGAATTTATATAGTTGCTAGATGCAGAATATGCCAATACACTAAAAAAAAGTACCTTAAGAACTACCAGGAAACGTCTCTCAACAAGTGGAAATTCGACAAACTTAAAACCAAAACCAAAACCAAAACCTTCGGCAATATCGCCTTCCTCTTTATAAGAGGTGATGTCTCTCTTTTGGAGACCTGTACTGATGATCTCATCCTATGAATTGTGGCTTCATCCTATGAATTGTGGCTTGTTTGATCCCTTTATAAAAAGATCTACAGTGAAAAACTATTCTTCTTTTACCTAATTATCATAATACCCTAATTATTTTCAAAAGATAGAGAGATGGTGATTTTGACTATCACCAAACTCAACATCGGTGTAAATTTTGTTTGACATGGGACTCTCTATTTACAAATTTACGTAAAAGCCCTTGAAATAGAAAAGAAAATGTCATTTTAAACTAGCGTCAACACTTCGAACGATGGGTGGATCGCTCAACCCACAAATCTGTGACGGATCGTGCTGGATCGATGATTCGAATTGGTCTGGATTGGTCATTTAAAAATATTAAAAATAAATAATGTAAAAAAAAAATTAAAGTAGATGTTTATGGGATGAGGATTTAGGGAGACTTAAAAAAATAGTAGTAAGATTTTCTTTTTTAAAAAAAAAGAGAGAAAAATATGAAAGGAGGAGTTCTAGGGAGAAACCGGGTTGGGAACTATACCATCCAGAATTGGTTCGATCCTGATTGATTCCCTCTTTGGATTGATTATTTCGGATCGGTAATCACTAGTTTTAAAAAACTTTTTTAAACCTTCAAATAAAATTTGGGGCCGGCTTACCTTATTATCACTCGTTGATATTAAAAAAATTCGTATTTGTAGACATAATCAATGCTAATTTTGAGATGTCTTTGTACAACAACCTATCTAACTACTCCAGAGTGGTTAAATTTACAACTTTAGAGCTTACTTTATGTGCACAAACTATTACTTTAACTTATATAACTTACATTGAGGGGATTGAATTTTTAAATTTCAACTTGAGTGAGCTCTCTAGGAAAAGATGTGGCTTGGAGTCCTTAATACAAGGACTTAATGGTAAAGAAATGGGACTGTTTCCTTTTTAAAAAGAAAACAGCATGCTTTCTCCCCTTATAATTGAAGCCACAAGATTTCATGCTCCAGGGGCAGCATGTTGTTTATTAACTCCTTCGGGTAAAAACCCATGTTGTTTATTAACTCCTTCGGGTAAAAACCCAATCTAGGGGTTATTGTAGGACCCTAAATTTTTGGGGAGTAAGCTCTTTAACCCATTGGTTAACCTCGATAACTTTTTTTCTTCCAAATCACACTCTCTATACACGTGAAGAAATGATGTCTCAAGATTGAACAAAAACTGACTAATTTTTTGAGGGTGAATTCTAAGTGCTAGAAAATTAAAAATTCACATTTTCTCTCTTAAAAATAGTCTTATACTGATTCTTAGATGATTCCTAAAACTTCTGTATCAGAAAAAATCCTCCCAAGTGGGTCATCCACCGGAGGGAATCGGGGTATAGCATGTGCTCCTAATGGAGTAGAGTACACATACTCATATTTGAGTGTCTCTTATCTATTTTTCCTGCACTTATGCGATAGTCCTGAACATAATGAGCTTGAGTTGCCACAAATGGCAAAGTATATGATAAGACCGTTTACTTTTAGTACAAGACGGTCACAATCACTATTGATCATTAAAAATGAAATCAAACGGCTGATGATATACAACTGGTTGAGTGTAAAATTCAAAATAAAATTACTTGAACTGTATGACACTCCCAAGTTATCAAATTTCACATATAATATCTATAGATGATTGTGATTTTCTTGTACCAAAACTGCATGGTCTCATATTATATAATCCAACTTTTCTATTTTATTGGGCTAACCTTTTAAAATTATAAATGGAGCTATATTACCCAGGCAATCCGAAATTCTCATGTTTTGTTTGTCGACAGGTTTCCCTATATAGCGATACTCTTAGACACGGGGGGACACTCGTATGGACATTGTCGAGCACGCCTTTAACTATGGCAAAGTTTGGATATTTCAAGTAGCTAATGTCTTCAGTTTGGTTATAGAATACAGGCAAAGAATACCTCGACGACATAAGGCTTAGGGGTCGCAATGGGCTGGGAAACCCGGCCTAGCCCTAAAACGCTAGAGCGGGGGCCACAAATTGTAGCCTGAGGGTTGGGCCATCAAGGGTCAGGGCCGGGCTTGGGTTAGGACCTCTTTAGCTCAGTCAGGGTAAAGCCGTGCCTGGGTCAACCTTAAGAGAAATAGGGCTCGGCCATGGTTGGCTCGGCCCGTTGCCAGCCTTGTCATAAGTTGAACGTATAGCTTCATTTTTTAATGCAACGTGTCCCACCACCAAAAGTTTTATTTCTTAAATGGTAATATATTTAAATTTAAATTGAGAATGTTTATTAGAGCAGGCCATAAAATTGATCATTTTCCATTTCATCCCTTCTTTTTACCTGACTTTTAAAATGCCCATAAAGGCCGACATCAAGTAAAATTCTAAGGGGTAATACATTAGGGCAAGCCCTTTATGCTTCCCTTACATAATAGAAGTTCTATCCTCCCTTTATCCAACCGTTCATTTTGAACGGAGGGCTAAGATTGTTCCAATCACAATATCACGTCTCTACACTATTTTATTTTTAATTTTTTTTATAAACTATTTTGATACCAAATTTTGGACGTCCATTCCTATATTAAACTCGCAATAGCGAAAAATATAAAAAAAATATTTTCAATAAAATAAAATAACCAAAATATCCTTGAAAGATTCAAAGGGTATTTTGGTCATATTATTTTATCAAAAAATTATTTTTAATATTTTTATAGGTGCGCCCCAATGAGAAGATGGCACATACCAAATTTCATATTCATACAATTTGTATAAAAAAAACTAAAAAAAAAAAAATACTTTGAGACATCGAAGCTAAGATCAAACGGTGAGTGACTCTCTTGATCAAAATTGGACAGTTGGATGGTAGGGGAATGATAGAACTTCTATGCTGTAGGGGACGCATAGAAACCTTTCCCTATATATTAACGGATGAGCAATTTTCAATTTTGTCTCTCCATCAAAACCAAAAGGATGTGGTTTGTATAAGGCTGACAAAATAATCAAAGTAAGGAGCACATTTAAATAATGTCGAAAAATATCATTTCAATATCGAAAATCTTTCTGAAGGCCTAGATATTTATTTTCATATCTAGTTATAAAATTAATGCTCAAAAAATAGAGTAGATCAAGCAGATCAATGAACACTTGAAAATTGACAGTCTAGATAATAGATTACAAGATGCACTACTTCTAAGACTTGAAATCCTTTTTTTTTATGTCTATGTATCTCAAGGTTGAGATGATCGGATTTGAGGATTTTTCAGCAGCGAAACAACTTCTTATAATGAAGTTTTGAAGTACACCTTAATTTGATTGTTTAGGGCCTCAACCTTGTATAAACTTTTTCCAAACCAAAAGTGGCAAATACTATTGTCTAGAAATCTAGATATCAATATTTTTTAATACCAATATCTAAAATATCGATATTTTTGAATACCGATATCTAAAACATCGATATTTTGAATGCCGATATCTAAAATATATAAGATATCGATCTCATCAAAATTTAGAATTACCATTTCCAAAATACCATTATGTCTTAGGGGCCGTTTGGATACCTGAAAATATATTGTCTATGAAATATATTACTGGCGTAATATATTACCTGTAAATAGATTGTTACTGTTTGAGTAGTATTTAGATGCAACTTGAAAAATACATTGTTATTGTTTAGCTATTCTGGAAGAAATATAGGAAATGCATTACCAATATTTCACCTGCACGTGCTTATAAACTATCATTTCTTTCATTTTTTTCACAAAATTCCACTAAAGTGCAGAATTATCATCTCCTTCTTTTTTGTCATAAAATTCCACTAAAATACTGAATCTAAAAAGATTTCTAATAATAACATTATCACCATTCCAAAATTTTTTTCTAATAATAACTTGTACCATTTTATAGTCATGACACTATTTCCTACTTATTTTAAGTGCCTTTGGCACTTATATACAATCACATGTTTTTTAACATGACATTGGTTTCAACCTGATAAGTCATTGGAACAATATGATTGGAATAACATGATTTTATTATGATAAGATTTATTTTTATTTATTTATTATAGAAGTCTTTCAAATGCCTCTCTATATAGTTTCAAATAAATAATAAATTTATGATACTAAATTCAAAATCTGTAGGGTACGAGTTAAAAAATGGGAAGAAGTTTGATTAGTAAACTAGAAGGTTTGATAATTGATGTATTAAATTTTGATGTATTGGAGGAGACTAAAGAGGTATGTTATTTCAATTAAGATTATAGTAATCTCTTATGAGGATTATGTTGTGTGAAATTTTTTATTATGATTGTGTTATGTAATTTATCATTGATTACTAATTTTTATTTTTATTATTTTTGTTTTTATATGACACTGATGCATTCATATGAGGGGACGAGCTTGAGGGATCACATTATGTTGTGTAAATTTTTTTATTATGATTGTATTGTGTAATTTATCATTGATTATTGATTTTTATTTTTATTATTTTTGTTTTTATATGACAGCTGATGCCTTGAGATAAAGGGAAGAGCTTAAAAAAGGAGGGATCACCTAGTTATTATGAAGAGAGAGGGCGTAGAATCACCTAGTTATTATGAAAAGAGAGGGTTTAGAAGATTTTTTTTAATCAGGGATGGGGTAGGAAAAAACGTACCCGAAAGATTTTCCAAAATTACCCGTCACGCTCGTAATAGATTTTTCATTTATCAACTCCATTTGCTGATTTTTGAAGAAAATGTCTAATCTCTTTCTATTTCTTTACGATTAAGTATAACCCAACAGTGAAAATGTCATATTTTCTTCTAATCTATTGTCACGTAATAGATTTTCAAATACCTAAATGGTGCTAAGTGTTTTTGAGATGTTAGTGTTTTGAACACCACTATCTTATCGGAAAACTATGTTAAAAAATACCAATCCCTCCTATTTGGTGTTGCGTGATGGAAGGGTAAATTTGGAAATTACCTCCCTAATTTTTTAACCCATTATTGATCCATTATGCCATAATCTTTTGAGAGGTTTCTACCGTTAGGAGAAAAGAAAAGAGTGAAATCTTACAAAATCGTATATTAAGGGTGGTTTAATAGATTTTCTTTATATTATTAATATGAATTTAACAAAGAAAAGACTACTTAGTAAAATATGAATTAAATAAGACACATAATGAACAACCTAAAGCATACGTTTTGATACAATTTGATTCATTTTGGGGTGGATAAGTTTTTAATGGTCCATCTTGGCTCATCTTTGCAGGCTCCACCTGTCCTCATTGGAGTAGTCCTCTTCCTTTGTCACTCTACAAACGCCAGAAGAAAGAGACATAAATTATTAGAGAATAAGGAATAATAATAATACACACAATAGAGAAATTACAAAGGAAAAAGACGAAATAATATAATTATGGTCAAAAGATTTTCTACCACTATCTATCCCTCCGGGAAAACTTAATCTACTGATATCTTTTTTATCTCAAATTTTGGGGGTGTGATATCTAGAATACGACAAACGCCTTAAAAGAAAAAAAAAAAAAATTCAACTCTCACTCTTTGTGTCTAAAAATATATCGTGCTAAGATTGCACGAGAACTGTCCAATTTTTGGAGGGAATGATCTAGATCTTTATAAATTCAAAATCTAAAATTTTTAATTTGAAAATAATCATAAGTTACGATCGATCCCAAAAATTTAAATCAAACAAAATTTCCCGAGTTGGTGATTTGCCCGAGGGAATAGATGTATAATATGGTCCCGAGGGAGCATAGTATATACTATATGCTCTCTAATTATAAGTAGATAGAGTTTTGTGAATTGTAATAAGTCAAAGAACATTTTATTAAAGAAAAAGTTTACATAAGGTGTCCACCTTATACTATAGAAATAAGTTATACCTAAAATATTCACTAGAAAAGGTTATTCTAATGCCAAAAAAACCGTCTAGTTGATCGTTTCCACCACGATATGCATAAATGTGAAAGATTTCAAGTCTTGAAAATAGTGCATCTTGTAAGTTTTATCTGAACTGTTCATTTCCTATAGTTTAAAGTATTCATAGATCTAACCAATCTACATTATTTTGGAAGCTTCATAATTAGATATGAAAATATATTTGAAGACCATCATAAGGATTTTCTAGTATATAAACCCTATATTTTCTCGTCATTTTAGAGTGTTTTACTTTTGATTGTTTAAGGCATCAACCTTTTACAAGCCTCACCCTATAGATTTATTCCAACTTTTCTAAGGGAGTTGCAATTTGATTGGCATTACAAATAAACGTGGTATTGCCAGCACGCCTTTCTCAAACATATGGGAATGGGCAAGTAGGGCTCCAAATTGGGTCCGGTCGATCTAGTACAATGAACCTCATGATGGGTCAATGACCAACAAAACTCAGACCCGACCGGATTTAAACTTAGGTCTAGCTTGACCAACCTAGACTCGACCGAAAAATGTGTGTACCCAATTCATGTCTAGACCCTAGGAGGTCAGGTGGGGTCGACCCAACCCATTTGCAACCAAAAAAGTTCAAAATTTAGGTCAAATATCTTATAGTGTTTCCAGCAATTGCCTTTCTTTCTTTATGTGGTGAAGGTAAGTAAACCATGTACCATCCGTTAGAAAATATTGGATCATGAAAACAGTGGAAAAAGTTTATATAAGGTGGCGATCTTTGATAAAAAACCCACTAGAGAAGGTTGTTCCTATGTTGGAAAGCTTCAAAATCGATCATCTCGATCTTGAGACTCATAAACATGAAAAAAATGGGAATTCTAGTCCTAAAACGAGTTCATCTTCTTACACATTGCCTCGATTGTCTATTTTATAGATTTCAAGTGTTTATAGATCCGCTTGACGTCATCATTTCTAGAACTTTAAATTTCATAATTGGGAGTAACAATTGATTTTCATATCATCGCAAGGCTTTTTGGCACCAAAACTGCATCTTCAGCATAGGTTTGAGGTACCTTACTTCAATAGTATAAGGTTGACATCTTATACAATTGTTGGTATATCAAAAAAAGGTGAGGTTTGGATAAGGTGTCAACCTTATACTATTGAAGGAAGGTGCATCTCAAAACTATGCCGAAATACAATTTCGGCCCTGCAAAGTTTTCGATGATATGAAAATTTATTGCTACCCCCAATTATGATATTTAAAGTTCCAGAAATAGTGGCGATCAAGCAGATCTATGAACACTTGAAAATGGATGGACCATATAATGTGTTAGAAAATGAATTATTTTTAGGGCTAAAGATCATCTTCTTTTTTTTTTTTTTCATATCTATGAAGCTCGAGGTCGAGATGATCGATTTGAGGGTATGGAAAAAACCTTCTCAGTTGATTTTTTGGGTGCACCATACTTGTACAATATAATAATGTTAACACCTTGTATAAACTTTTTCCATAAAAAATCCTAACAAACTATTTTATAGTCAATGTCGAGATATGTGATCCTCAAAGTAAAATGCGAGGAAAAGAAAAACACTATATACCTCTTTGTCATGCGCCACTAATTAGTTAAGGGATTGCATATTATAAGACCACTAATTTTTGGTACAAAGCGGTCACATTCATTCTTGGGCATCAGATGTGAAATTCTACGGCATAAAGTGTGCCATACACTTTAAATTTTTTTTTTTTTGACTTTGTGCTTAGTCAATGATACACTTTTAGCCATCTAATTTTACATTTAATAGTCAATCATGATTGTGACTTCATTATACCAAAAATAAATAGTTTTGTTACATACATTTTCATTGTTAAAGAACCTCCTAAATCAGACAATGTTTCTCTCTCTCTGCAGTGTTTTTTTTAGGGGATGGAAAATGGTTGGGAGGTTCTGCCTCGTTTTGAATGACAAAGCAAAGCAATATGCAAGAAGAAATGACGATTCTCAAATGAAGTGTGATCTCAAAACAATCGTGTGAAAAGTTTAGTCTTTATAGATATAAATGTTTAAGCAAAACTGTCAATATGTCGATGAAATCAACAACGTAGATGATCAATCACAAAGAAAATTTGTTGAAAAGTAGACTAAGGAATGAATGCAAGAACTCATAATTAAATAGAACATTTCAAGGGACAAATCTGGTTACAAGAAAAATAATTTAACCGAAGTTCTTCAACCCTACCTAATTGACTAAATGTTTTCAGAATTTTGGAAAAAGGGATGGGGTCGTGGTAGTAGCATTCCCATATCTCAATTGTATGTTGTGGATTTCATTCTCATTGACACCTTCAAAAATCACTAACCATTTCAAAAATGGATAAGAGCATGTATTCCCCTCTACTGAAGGGCCAACTAGGAAATGGAAACCTGCAACTTGCTAAAAAGAGCACATTGTATATAACATTGTCTCTTCATGCTTGAAAAAAAAAAAACCCAAGTGTATAACGTAAGCTTGAAAAAAAAAATAAAAGAAAAAAGAAAAATAAAAAGGAGTTCTTTGAACTCAATTGAATAGGACAAACTTTTAAACTAAAATTTCCTTGATGTCATATAAAGAAAAAGAAAGATTCTATCAGCATGAAATTGTCCATATCATTAATTAAGATTCTATTAGCATGAAATTATGCATTTCATTAATTATTTTGAAATAAAAAACTTCTTCTTTAGTGGGTATGTTTTGCTCATTTCTTGAGTTTACAATCCAATTCCAATGTGATCCTTGAGGAGAACCATTTTTCATTGTACAAAAATGCGGATGAGATTGTCAAAAGGAATTAATGACACAAAATACAACAACAAAAGGAAGAAACAAGGAAGGGCATTGTTAGGTGTTCATCCAATGCTCAAAATCGTGAAATCTCAATGTTGTAAAAGATCCAAGGGCCAAGAACGCGTATGAGAGAAGGAAATGGTGGTCCACTAAAGTGCACGGCCTTTGATAATATCCATGCTCAGCTCACTAGGATCGGTGGCTTGCAATTCGAGTTGAATGCCATCGAGCTCTCTCTTAAATCTATCCTTGGAGCTCGCATATAACATCTTGCTCCTCACCCTTGAAGTATCTGGAGACCTGCACATTCCATCATTCTCATACAAACAACCTTACTCAAACTATACTATTCAATAGAGAGAGAGAGAGAGAGATACATGCAAAAGAATGGGGTCGCCTCAGTCTCAAGACGAGTTAATCGGACTCCGCTCTTTTGTCGAGTTGAGTGTCGGTCGAGTTAATTTTGAATAAAATTAATATTTTATTTATTTTTAAAAATAAAATTCGCACAAATTAAGCTGATAGCACAGCATAGTACCACTATATAAATGACACATTGCACTGCTATAAAATTAATAAAAGTCAAAACTACAATTTAGTTTAGCAAAACCACTATAAAGGACTTAATTTTTTCAACTCTTAGGCCATGCAACACACATAACCATTTCAATTCCATAATAAAACAATATATCAGGTTTAAATAACTATTACATTCATTTTAACTTTTTAAAATAAATTTTATACAAGTTCGGTGGGTAGCACAACATAGTGCCACCACAAAAATGACACATTGCACCATTCAAGGTAGTATTTTACTTATTATTATTGAAAAACTTACCACTAATCTTTGGTGGATATCCAAAAGGAGTTGGCGGTCTCATGTTCAACAATAAATGAGGTTTTGTAAATGAGTCAAACTTCGCTGAAAAAGAAGATGTTCTCCAAAAATAATCAATAAGTTAAGTTGTAGTTCGACCATCATTTTCATTTATGAGGTTTATATGTGGTTAATTAAATTTAATTAATTTTATAATCTTATTTATTATATAATAAAATTTCTTTGAAACAATAGAATGTATAATTCGGCATGAAAACTATTGTGTTATATATATATATATATATATAGTGTCGGTTTGTATAGAGCC